AATAAAAAAAAAAAAGGGGGAGGGGCTACTGTTCTAGAATTTTGGGGGAGATGAACAGTAACATTCGTAACGGAATTTCAAAAAAACTGACGGAAAGGGTAACGTGAGACAGTTTTTTGCACGTTGGGGGGTACTTTGAGACGTTTTCCACCACAGGTGGTAATCTGAGATAAGTTGGAAAGCACAGGGGGCATGTACATAATTAAGTCTTTCTTAAATTAATAACCGACATTAAAACCTAGCACCTTGATGATGGCCTTCTGCAAATAGAAGAGGTATGATTGTAGTGTATTACATTGAGTTCAAATTCTCCTTTCTATAGATAGTTGACAATATCATATATAAAAAAGAAAAGAAAAAAAAAGTCACATTTTCTTCTTCTAATATATATATATATATATATATATATATATATATATATATATATATATATATATATTAAATGTTCAAATCAAGATTTTTTTCCACACATTATTAATATGAAACCTTAGTATTTAATCAGAGCTTAAATGAACATATCATTATTTTTTTACTGGTGAACTCAAAAAAATCTAAAGTGCTAACTAAACTAACTTTTGTACTTTAAAAAAAAAAAAAAAAAAAACTAACTTTTGTAGTGTTTTGATGGGGGGAAATCAATTTGGGTTGGAATTTGGACAAAAGTCAGAATTTCTAAATTGACATACACCAAAAACATAGAAATTTAGAAATTCCACGTGGAAATAACATATGAAATTTAGAAGTCATGAGTCATAACTTTAAATTCTATCTTAATAGTTATCATTTTTAAAATTCCAAAAAAGTAGAAGTTTTAAAATATTAAATTCTTGTTAGACAAAGTCTTTACGTAGTTTCAAATTCAAACTCTTTATGTTATATGTTATTTAGAGCTCGTCTGGTAACATTTTCGGAAATCATTTTGGTAGAATATTCTCAGAAAAAGAAAACGCATTTCTAAGATTCGAGAATGCGTCTGGTAGTTAGTATGAAAAACAGTTTCGGAGAACAAAAACAATGGAAACGCATTTGGCATCAATAAATGAAAATGATAAAAACAGTGAATATGCATTTGAGACAAGGATTTTTAAATTCATTTTTTGACATAATATTTTGATTAATTTATATATATAATTAGTCAAACTCATTTTCCATTATGGATATTAATGACCCAAACATATTTTCCTAAACTCAATTAGATAAAATTTGACTAAAAAAATATATTAAGAATTAACCAAAACACAATTCCATGATCTTATATGTTCCTCCAAGTTATCATTGTAAAGACAAGCAAAAATAGGTTTTCATAGTCATACAAGAGCCCGTCCAGTAATATTTTTGGAGAATATTTTCTTAGAATATTTTTAGAGAATGAAAAAAAAGAAAACGAATTTGCATTTTCAGGAAATGAAAATGCTTCTGGTAGATTAATTAGAAAACATCTTCAAAAAACATAAACAATGAAAACATGTATGGTAGTACAATTTGAAATAATAATATGTGAGTTATTTTTATGAAAACGTTTCCCATGAGAATGAAAACAACTTTTTTCTGTTTTCTACCAGTACACATGAACTTGTTTTCATTTTATAAAAACATTCTTAGTGTATTTTGTTTTTGGGCCACCGAACGTGATTTTGCCTAATTTTTGTTCTTTGAAAATGAAAACAACCTCTTAAAACGCTACCGAACGGACCCTCTCTAGACAAAATATTACATTAACGTGATCATTATAAAATTATATAATATTACAACAAAATCAAGAGCCTTGAGTAAAATCACTCCATAAATCTATTGCAATCTTATCTCTAATGGTGTGTGCAATATTTCCTAAAGACATATTTATATTTGGTGTTGCCATATTTTCATCATCAACAATCATGTCTTCTACTTGAAACTCTTCATACATTTTATCATGACATGCTTCCCTTATGATAAAATTATGTAACACATAACATGCAATAAGGATACATCGTTGTCTACATGGAGGGTAATTAGACATCAACTTCAAAATTAGAAAACGTGCTTTCAATACACCAAAGCACCGCTCAATTAAATGTTAGTAGTATGCCCTTAAAGCCAACTAATTATGTGATAATTAATATTAAGGACATCATCTTATGTAATTACTTATTAAGTTTGTTAAGGGTTCATATAGCCAAGGCTATCAGAAAGCACCACGTGGCCAAGAAAGGCTAAGTCATTCATATACCGACCCGACCAGGTTGACCACCCCATGTACTACTAGTAGGCCTTCCAGCCGGGCTTATCAGAAGATGTCACGCGGCCTAGGGTTTTGGTGCTCATGTACTGACCTGACCAAATTGACCGCCCCAGGTCCACTGTGATGTCTTGTGACCAAAAATGCAGAAGCGCTAGTATTCTAATATGACCAGATCCTTGTTAGGCCATGTCACTTCACACACGTAATACCAGCATGGTGACTGAAATGGATCATTTCATGCGCTTCACATCCAAGCTAGGTGTTGCCTTGGTACTTGATCCCTGATAATCAACATAGTGACTGGTGCTCATAACCACTCTTCAGTCCCATCATTGGGAATGGCTAAAGATCATTTTTTTTGGCAAGATTTAAGGAGATGTGATATCTCCTTCTCTCTCTATAAATACTTTTCACCTGCATTGAGACAAAGGTGATAAATATCATCATCCATAAACTCTCTATCCATCTCTTTACTCTAAACCCATTTCTAACTTAGACATCGGAGGGGGTTCGACTGGTGCCTAGCAAGTTTACCCCTCTTCTGATAGTTGCTTAAAGTGTGCAAGTAAGCTTAAAAGATCAACCCAACCTCACAGTCCAGGGCACGTCGTGGTCTTGACCCAAGTTAGGACCCCATATATTATAGGAAAGACTCTGTATCAGCATTTGGGGCCGTCTGTGGGAACTTCTTGCAAATAGAAGTAACATTCCCTCATCCAAACGAGCTCCGACATAAGCAAAACCAAACTATGTCGAAGAGTCAACATCTTAGAAGGAAGGGCCCCTCGGCTACAACTAAGAGAAACATTCAGAGACAGAGGAATGAGAAATAGCAAACGGATCGTCTCAAAAACTTGGAGGACAAGATGAACCGAATCTTGAAGGCGTGAAGGACATCCAAAACCTCAACAATAGCCTTCGTGCGCAGAATGAAATACTATAGGAAAGCCATGTCAAGCTGGTAGATAAGGTGAGCTCACAACGAAACCAGGAGTAGACCAATACCAAGCATACCAGCGAGACCTCGTCCGAATCAATGGAGGCTGAGGTACCGGAGTAGGCAACAACCGATGCGAGGGTTATACGGAAGGAAACAAAAAAGCCTGGCGGAAGCCCAACAAATGTCTGGTGGAAAGCTTGCAGAAGGATAAAGCCCAGGTCGGTACGAGCGCCACTGAGGAGGACATCAGCAACATCACCTCTGTGTTTAGGGATTTGGTTACTGGCGAGTTAAGAAGTGTTTGGGATCGGCTTGGGCAGGTAGAGAAATCAAAAATGCCCAGAGAACCAGAGTTCACCGAGGAGGAAATCTAGCTACCTTATACCTAGGACCTACTGGAGGCCAGAGTAATAGGAGATTTAAAGGCCCCAAAGATCCCCATGTATGATGGAATGACCGACCTTTACGACCACCTGGATAATTTTCGTTATGCCATGGAAGGGCGCGACGCGAATGAGGTAACCAAGTGCCGCATGTTCCTAACAATGCTCAAAGGTCCCACCACAAGTTGGTTTCAGCGGCTCGCTCCAAAATCGATCAGTTCTTTCGTCGAGCTCAGAAAAGTCTTCTTAGAATGATACATGATCATTTCAGATTGACTATACACTGCAAACGACTTATTGACAGTCAGACAGCTTTCTGACGAAAAGCTCAGGGATTATATCACCCGACTGAACAATGAGTAGGCACAATGTGAAGGTTGGGATGAGGCAACGGCGCACAATGCGTTGATGTGTGGACTCCAAGGGGGGGAACTTCTATTTTGCCCTTCCCAGGAACCCCTCGAAGACATAAAAGGACCTCTTTCATGAAGCCACCAACTACTCGAGGCTTGAACAACTAAACTTAGCAAAAAAAGCAACCGTCGGGCAAAACCCAAACGACCTAGTACCATGTCAACACAAAAAGAAGAGACCTAATGATTATGCATATGATCAATTAGATAAAATGAAGAAAAGAGAACTTGGGGCCTCAGCTCGATGCCGCGAGGTTAGACTCGAGAAGCATAATCAATACACTAATTATACTCTTATAAATAAGTCTAAGGGAGAGATCCTTGTCG